CTTCCAGCCACGGCATGTGGGTGGCTTCACCTCTGCCTTTAGCTTTTGGCTTTTGAAGGCCCAGGGGTCATCTTTCTGCAGCACATCTGGCTGGGGTGCCTCAGCATCTTTCACACCGCTGTCTCCCTTTGCCTGGCCTTTGACATGAGTGAATGCTTTTGCCCTTACGTGTTGCACAATCACATCCTTAATGAGATGCACGTAGCCACCGAGCTTTGCTGCATGTGCCCACTGCGCAGCATCCCTGGGCTGACCACCCAAACATCAGCACATGGGGCAAATCAGGGTTTTTCGTAAGCCAAGCAAACAATGCTCCAAGATTTCCATGATGCTGGAAGAGCACATGTTTTCCACTGCATCACTTGCATGCACTCTCTCCTGGGACAAAGCGTAACCTTGTGTGTTTTTTTTTTTTTCTTCCTTGCTTTAAATCTATTTGCAGAAGGCCACTGGAAAAGTCAGGAAGTAACAGAGTTTTCTAGGCAAAAGGTACTCCCTGGTACTTGCCTTAAAATGCAAATGAGCAAACCCACCACATTAAACTTCCCAAAATGAAGCATTTCACATTCAAATGTTTGCTTTGGTGTACAGTTTCCAGCCCTTCAGAAAAGTTGCTTTATTTTCAATGTTCTGATTCAGAAAAGCATTTGTGCTCAAGCACCACAGAAAACACCTTTCAGCACGGGCATTTCACTTAAATTATTGCTGGGAGTCAACGAGATTTCAGGACTTACACTGAAGCACACACTTAAAGGCTGTACTTTTCCTAAATGGGCTTCAGCATACGTTTAATTATTTTCTTGACCTGGAGCCACTGCAAGTAAAGGAATTATTGTTATAAAAAAATGTAAACAAGGGAGGCTGCACATTCCTGCAAATATTCAATATAAAAGCACTCTTGCTCCTAAGAGGGGGAGGGGGAAAAAAAAAAAAAGAAAGAAAGGTTTTCCTCAAAAAGGCTCATATTTATTCTCAGTTTGGCTCTTTTTCTCCCCAAGATGTCTCAGCCAGCTCGGAGCAGACCAAACTCCCACTCTCCACAGTGGCAGTTTTCCGGGGGAGAACCCCTGGCTTTGCCAGCTGCATGTGGCCAGCAGCCTCCCTCCCCTCTGCGCTGCTGAGCCAGCCACCTTAACCCCTAGATTAGCACTTGGTGCCTCTGCAGCAGCAGCAGATTGTGGCCCCATCACCCAAAAGCACACAGATTCACCCCAAAACTGCTAACTAGTGTCTTCTCCACCCCCAAGCATGCAATGCAGGAACACACCTAATCGGACTTGGAGTAATTTTTTGTCTAGAGTGCCCCAACAGCTAACGTGTGGGCCATCAGCTCCGCTTGGTACTTTTGGGGTGGGTATACCGGAAAGACCCAGCTCCTCCCTTCCAGTTGCAGTTCTCAGCTAGGAACATTTTTCAAGTTTACTGCATTGGCCTCCATCACTTGGCCTGGCATCTATGGAGCTCCTCAACCAGTACTTCCCTAGGAGAGTTATGTTTTCCCTCAGCACCAGGGACTTCCTTCTCCCTTTAACTTCCACATTTAGTTACGTTACAAAAAAAAAAAAAAAAGAAAGAAAAGAAGAAAACACCCAAAATTTCCCCTTTGAAGATGACACAGAAGTTTTATGTTCTCATAATCTCAGCACTCCTTACTTCTTCATCTTCCAGCTGCTCTCCTCTCTCACTTCCTCCCTTCACACCACTAAAGCAATCCCTCCTCGCTCCACAGCTGCCTTCCCCACCCTGTGCTCAGTCACACAGAGAATACAGCAAGGGGATGCGTGAACTCCTACTAACGCTGGGTGGAGGAAAACGGCCCCAAAGCATCGCTGAATCAAACCAAGAAATAAAGATGCTGAACCATTGTCTCTAATCCAAGCCATCTGGGTAAACTCTCCCTGACCACAGTGGGAGAAGAAACAAGGTAGCTTTGACCAGGGGAAGGAAAGAATTAGGTCACCTCCAGAGTTTCCACCAACATTTGAGCCATGGTCTGGAGAACGCTAAAGTGGTGGTGGGTCTCCCAAACATAGAGCTCATGAGAAAGCACCCTGGAATGTTTCTCAGCTGCTGACATCCCCACAGCTCTTCTCAGGATGTGGGAATCTGGGAAAATTATAGAGGAAACACAATAGGGAAACCATTCCTGCATCTCTGGCAACGCAGAGAGCTGTCTTTGGCACCTAGCAGCAACTCAGAGAACGGCCTGGGTGGTGGGAGGAATAAGGGAAGGAACACTACAGAAAGCGAGGACCAGAGAGGATAAAAAGTGGGAGAATACAAAAAGAGAATCAGCTTTAAAGGATAATCCTAATGAAGGAGGATCACCCCTGGAGCCCAAGGGCCACAGAAAGCCTTAGACACCTACCAGCTACTGTAGAAACCTGAAGCCAAGCATGAGACCTTCAGAGACCCTGGGGGAAGTAGGAACCTGCACCTCCATGTAACGTAAATCCTGTTGGGATTTATAAGCCTGGTTTCCCTCCTCAGAGCAAGGCTAGCAAAGCCAAGCCATCCAGGAAACATAAAGCAAAGCTCTCACATTGCTTCCTCACCACCAGCCCCAACATCTCCCCACACACCAGGCTGTAGGAAGCCAGGGCTGTGTTCCCAGAAGGGAACTAAAACTGCTAGCTCGGGTCATATGGGAATTTTTCTAATTACAAATTCACAATTACACTTTTAAGCAAAGTTTCCCTCACTCCCATCTACTCAAGTGGTTCCATTTCTGCAAAGAAACAATAGGCCAGCAAAAGAGTAAGTGCAAGGGGCACTCACCTAGGCAAAGGGCAACTCTACCTTCTAGCATCTCAACCAGTGAAGGGTTTATATCAGTTATCCTTGAAGCACCAGAGGAAAAAACAAGTCTCTGCCCTTACAATTGTATGTGCTGCTGAGCAGGCTCCACAGTGCTTTTCTCTCCCTCTCAGGTGGAGTAAATAGTTAATTATTCTAAATACAAAAAGCTGAGCATCTCTCAGGAGCCAGTCTCCTGGTGCAACTCTTCTCCTTTGGGCTGCTGTGAATAGGTGGCTAAAAGGATTCCCCATTAGTTCTGAACTTAAATAACAATGAGAACTACGTCATGCCAGAAGAATAAAAAGTGCCAGAGGAATAAAAAGATGAGATGGGAGGTTGGAGAGGGAAATAAAAGAAGAGCCTGATTATTTTTCACGCATTTGAATAAGGCAGATGGCTCACATACAGCATATGGGATTTCAATTTGGGCTTTTAATGGAAGAAATACTATCCCCATCTTTCTCAGCCAGGGCAACCAAAACAACCTGGATTTTTTGCTTTCACCCAAGGTAATAATTGGCTGGAGAGTGAATATAAAGTGTTTAGGTCAGTGCAGAAATGCTCAGGGCATCCTGGCATGCGAGAGCTTGGCTCCAGATGTTCAGCTGGGGCAGCAGCACTCCCACAGGAGGGGAAGTCACAGAATCACAGAATGGCCAAGGTTGGAAGGGACCGCTGGATATCATCTAGTCACATGTCTGCTTTGCTATCTTCAAAGTGGAGATGGCAGCTCCTTTCCTGAAAGGAAAGGCTTCTTATTTTTAAGTTCATTCTTTGCTAATTACATCCCCGACCCCAATTTCTTCAGAAAGTTTCCTGGCTGCGCATGGACACAGTGAATAAAGAGCCTGTAGTGCTCACCAGGCCTTGGCTGTGCACCACGAAGGCATGATGGTCAACTGGGCAGGCGGGGGAAGCTCCAGCAACTCTGACCAGCAAGTACTAGTAATCCTATGTCAGGGTCTGCCTGGCTGCCAGGGGCTCCCACAGTCCTATCAAGCGAGGAGCTGGATGTAGCCCTTCAGATCCAGCCTCGGGAGAAGGAGGGAGCTCCAGGCTTAGCATCCCCAGAGGCTCCGGCACCATATGGCTGTGAAACAGCTGGTTGGAGCTCAGCAGGGCACTGGCAGAGGAGCATTTAACCCCCAAATGTGTTTCTGAGCTCCACCCAGCAGCTTCATGCTTCCTGCAGTGGCTCGGACCATCCTGCTCCCTCCCTCCGGCCAGCCCGTGGTGCTCACTGTCTCTGTGGAAGCAAATTGCTCTGGTACCAAAGCAGGCTCTGGGCTAAGTTCTCTGATGATGTGGCTCCACTGAAGACAGCTGGCTTCTTCCAGCACGTATACCTACAAAACCCAGCTAGGTTCTTGCAGTGTAACCCGTTGAAGTTTTGTGTGAGGACAGTAACAAAACAAAGTCATTTTTCCAAGTGATTCACTTTTCTGCTTCTTTGGAGGATGTTCATACATCTACCTCTTTGCTCACCTGACTTTCAAGTGTCTGCCAAGAGTCTAACAAAAACAGACCTTTCACTGTATTTTGCTGATTCGATCCATGCTCTGCTCACGCTACTGAAGGCGAATAGCCCACCTCCCGCATGGGCAAGGGCAGTCCTTTTTGTTCCTTTAGCTTTGACCACCAAAAGCCCAAGGGCCTGAGACTGCAGCAAGTTTGGGAATTGCACAGAATCAAGTCTTCAGATGTGGAAACACCAGAGTGGCACGTCTGCCTTTCGAGGTGAAGAGAATCTAGGTCAAGCTTTCTAGTCAACTGTGCAACCGTTTTTGTTTCCCACCTCGAATGCGGGGAGAACCTGAAGGCGGCAGGAAGCCACCAAACGGGAAAATAGATCCAAGGGGACCCAAATGCCCCTGGTGACCAGCATGAAAGGAAGCACTGTGCACCTCTCCTCTCTCATGCAACTTCAGGTCTTCACTGCCCAAAAAGCATTACGATCCCATTAGCTCTCCCCGATGACAGCACTAGCCATGCTTCCTGTCCCATTCCCTTTGCAACCCATAAAATTATGAAAGCCCTGGTTTGGAAAGCAGAAATGCTTCTCCACCCTAGCCCAGTAACTACTGGGCCTATAAGGACTTGATCTGGCGAAATACAAGCTCTTTGTTCTCAGGTGCTCAAACTGTGCCATCAAGCGATTAAAGAAAAACAAGTATCACCATCACTTGTCATATTTATATTTTTGATTTTTATTTTTAAGTTTTATTAAAAAACCAAACATTATTACAAATGAATCATTTACTGGAAGGCTTCTGCCAGGGAGAACTTTCATCTCAATCTCGTTGTGAACAAAACGCAGCACAGTTAAAATCCATAGGCATAAACAAAACCCAATAAAAAAAAAGAGAACAGTTCAAACCATAGCTTATAATCATGCAGTTTCCTCAATGTCAACAGGAGGCTTTTAAAAAAAAGCCTCTCAATTCAGAATTTCACGGGAGACTTTTAAAACACAGGGGAAGAAGGAAACGCATGCTGGAAAATAAAACAAAAACAAAAACAAAGAAACTAGGGAAAAAAAAAAGAATTGCTTGGGTAATGGTTCATGAATTGAACAAATTTACCTCCTCCAAAGCAATCATCATTTGCCTAAGCTATGCAGTTGGCCCCTGGGTGATATATTTACCCTGAAAGCTGAAAATATAGAATTCCTGCCAAGCCATTCTGGCAAAAGTTTCCCAGTGCTGGCACTGGTTTGGAGGGGGTTTTCAGTGAGATTATACCTGGCTTCCCATTTCAGAAACCCGGAATTTGCAGATCCAGTCAGTACCACTCGGAGCCTGGAAAAGGACCTTTAATTCAAAGTCTCCTTAATTGAGACAGCATCATGGAAAGCTCTAAGTATCTTTTTACATGCTTCTGAATCAGGGCTGAATTAAGCACCTGCCCTTGTACATCACGGGTATCAAGCCCAAAACTGGGTAAGTCAAAACTGCAAACTGATGACTACTTTGTAAAAAAACAAATCAAAATATCCTTAGTGTGAAAACTTTAAGGTCAAAAACAAATAAAAATGGTCTTAAAATATATACATATATATATATGGCTTTTAATTTTTCCTATCCTTTTCACTGGAGACAAAAATAAATTTAAGGGTGATATTTGGTTTTTTAAAACAATTCTGTCCTCCTCTTAAGCTGTCAGTGGAGGTCGACGGAGGCGGTGACTGGGGGGTGCTCACGTGGGCGCTCAGAACCCGCCCGAGTTCTCCTTCATCTTTGCTAGTAGCCTGGAGTAGACGGGTGCTGGAAGAGAGAAGAGTCCAGTTGCATGGGACAAGCACGCGGCATTTCACGTCCCCCTCTCCTCCCTGCTATGATAAACCTTGCTTGGAGCAAGACAAGTTGCTCTTTTGCTGCTAACAGGGCTGCAACATGCTGGAGTTGGCCAAGAGTACCCTCGCCTCTGACGGTCTTTAGTTCCGGCCAAACTGGTCTACAAAAGTCTCTCAAGAATGAGACCCACGGCACAGCTGATCAGTAGCTCTATTTTCATTCTGGGTTTTCAGTGCATATGCATGGTTTGTTTCAAGCCAGTGGGGATATTTTCTGGCCTCTTCATGCCATTGTTGACCCAAGCAAGCCAGGGATGTCCAAGGCAGGAAGGGCAGGCAGTAGAGTTGAAGCTACCTATGTGCGTGCCAAGGGGTTTCCCAGGGCCAGATCAAGTCAAGGCTGGTCGTGCTCACCCAGAGCATGAAAGGGCAGCCCTGTGCCCTGCCGCCCCGTGGCCGAGCACTTCCCGAGCGGGCAGCCAGCAGCGCTTACAAGGCTCCTGCTCACAGAGCCACATCAATGCGTTAAACAACAGAATAAGCCTCTCTTTGAATGACACATGATAGGAATTACAAACAAGCTAAAGAAGTAGAAATTTGCCTTACCTAGTCGAGGATTCCTTTGAGAAACCTGCACAGGAAGGAAATTAGGGAATAAAATAAATCTCTGACAGCTGCACAAACAGTTTACAAGTCAATATATTTATCCCTATTCTCCAAAAAGGATCAAAAAGATCTAGGCCATGTTTCACTTATTTTTAACAAAAGTTATGCACACACATACATCCTCCAGATTTTAAAACATCTCGGCAATCAGAGGTAGCGGCTTCTCCGGACAAATTTTCATACTGCGTGAAGCCACACGTGTGTCTTTTAAACCTCTGGCTTTGGTCTGCAGTATTGGGAGCTCTCTCCCACCAACCCCAGGGGCTGAGACCACCTGAGAAGTCGGAAATCTTTATGTCTAGGAAGTAGCATGCAGGGCAGGAGCAAGAACATATTCAGGGAAGATCACAGGATGCAGGACTACGCTCGCCCCATGTCCTGAAGGAGCTCACAGGGAGCAGTGCAAAGTTGGTCTCTGCGGTGCTTGTCTGAACAGCAGTTAACAATTTACAGCTTTTATAAATCATGGGCAAGTGTCGTCTTCTTCTGACGTTCTGCAAGCCAAATTTGTTACTTGCCAATTCTTTTTCTAACGCTCCCAGAAGGGCTGAAGAGAGGAATGGATGAATAGCTCTTCAAGACCATGTATGTTATTGAAGGTTGTCATACATTGTATGGTGCCCAGGTTACATTCACAGTATGTTGCAAACTGTAAGCCTCATGTTGCAAACTGTATTACTTCTTTTATAATTAAGTCATGTAAGAAGACAGGATTGCTCAGTCCATGAAAACCGACATACTCAGTCTCTTTGAAAAAAAAAATCTGAATGTGGCAAGTTATCTTCAAATCAGTAATAATACCAAAATGTAGTTTCAGAAGTAGTACCTGAAGAGAGTTTTTTTGCCTTTTACCTTGGATAATGCAGATGCCTGTTTGAAGATTTCTAACGCAGGATCTGCAGGCTCATCACCTCGTTCTTGAGGCCTTGAAGCTAAGGGCGGAACATAAATAGCATCAAAATACTTTTCAAAGCACACAGGCTGCTTCCTTCACCTATTTTGGAGGATACGTTGAAAATCCAATAGAGACTAATCCTTCTCAATAAGCTGCAGTCATTACCACGCGTCACCTCTCCCTCCCCAAGTGAAGAAGCTGATGACGGGACGGGCGGCAGGAGCTAGGAGAGGGCAGTGAACCAAAGCAAGCGCAAGCCAGGCTTGTGCTGCCAGCACGACTCGGAGCAGCAGCTCTGGCAAGAGCAGGATTCGCTACACGAGCGCCAGGTCAGCCGTTCGGCGGCCTGCGCCCCAACCCGTTCCCTCGCCTTCTACTGGATTTGTTTTTTAATACGCTCCCTTTATACAACAGGAATTTTTGTTGGCAGCTCCGCACTAATGAGTAAACCAGGCAGCTCTAGGCATTTCTAAACATGGACCTACCCTGAGGCTGTAAGACTGAGTTCACAGCATAAATCACACCGTTCGTGGCCATGATATCACTTTCAGCAACAGGCTCCTTGTTGATATGTATTACATGGTTTTTCTATTAAGAAGAAGGGAAAAGAAAAAAAGTGGAAAATGAGAAGCTTCTGTCATCCGCAGTTTCCAGTTTTATTAGAAAGCCCTCACTTTGCATTCATTCACTTACTCAATGACTGCAGGCATTTTTGTTACTATTGCCAATTGAGAAGAATATAAAATCAAACTATAATTCCTGTTGCTTTGTCCTAGAGTGGCCAGCAGGCTCTGGAGTCCTTGACCTCTTCTATGCACTGGGCAGGAGTTTCGGGCCAAGGAGGAGAGCGTATCCACCTGCTGCCCCAGGCGCACCCACGGCTTGCACGCACGCTCGCTCGCTCGGGGAGAAATTGCTTCAGCAGAAGTGGGCAGATCAAGACCCCAAACAAGAGGAGTCTAGCACGCAAGTTGGCCAACTCAAAGCAGTTGGAAACACCAGCCTTTCCATTTTTGCTGTCCTGTCTTTCTTTCTTATATGCACAGAGCGGGTCACGAGTTATTTATTTTCTGAAAATATATCTTTTTCCTTCAGTAGAGGATCCTACAGTCTCTTAATTTGGTGCAAAGTTTTTGAAATAAAATTATACTTCTAAATAAATCCTGCTGTGTTAAGGGAGCACATGCAGAGATCATTTTCATTGCACTAAAAAAAGATGTTTTAGCTGAATAGGCTATTCATTTAATTTATTTATGCTTTTTTCCCCCATGACTCAGGGTGAAATTTATTACAGCTCCTGGAAATCATTTACAATTGGTCTTCTGGGGAGAAAGCTGAAGTAAACCACATTTCAAGACTGCCAGCTTGTTGAATTGAACACATGGCAACATTTCCTCCGCTGCAGTCTCAGAAAACAAGTTTTGTGGGACAACAAACACATTCAGAAGAGGTTCCCATACTACCCAGGAGACCATGCTGTGGTGGAGCCCAATGTGGACAGCTAAACACGGAACAAAGCCCAGCACCCGTGTTCACCGTGAAAGCCCACCCGAGGCGACTTACCACGCTGACTTCCAGCTTATCCCCCTGCATGGACTTCAGTCGCACGAGAGCCCCGACGGCGCCGCTAACCAGGATCTCGTCCGCAACGTGAAACTTGAGGATGTTGGCAAGTTCTTTGGCATTACCTGCAGGAAGAAAACATTTAAATCTGCACAACAATAGCAGAGGTTATTTCCCACAGCTCACGCTCTGGAATGATGTTATGTGGAAAACACCATAATTTCCTGAAAGTGCAAGGAAACCACGTCGATTTAAAAGACCAGGTAGAAGCACCTAGGCCGGAGCTGGCTGGGACGTCGAGGCTGTTCTTGCCGGCATGCAGTGAGGCTGGGCAGGTCAGGATTCCTGCGAGTCCAGAAGGACACTCTCCCCATACCCCTCCTTAATACCAGCCCTGCTCTACACATGAAATCCCCATCTCTTGTTTTTTCTGTCTCCCCTTTCTCTCACTGTGCAATACATGAACCTGCTTCCATTGCTGCTTTCACTTCCCAAAGAAGTTTAGGGGGAAAAAAATCTACGTTACATAAGGAAGCATACAGGATATTCTGGTATTTGCAAATGTCAATACTTCTGCCAGCACCAGTGTCACTTTGCAATACTCTTAATGGGTGAAACTGCAGGATGGCTGGGTGGGAAGGGGAAAAGGGCAGGAGAAATGTCCCTGATGGTTCACAGATATTAGAGTGGGGTATGGATCAGGCCAGCAATGAGTCTCTCTCTACTCATCTAGCTGTGTCTTGAAGTAAGTCTTAGGAAGACGAGCCGCTTTCCCTTCATGGTCCATCTTCCTCCCTCTTCTCCTTTAGTGTCTGTCACAGGCAAAACCCACACACAGATGACGGGGAAGAGGTAGTGTAAAAAAATGGCCCGTCTCACTGCCCATGTCCGAATTAACTGTGAGCTTTTTTCCATTACAGTTTTTCTCGAGTGGCCACAGTTCACACTGCGTCTTCACCATCATGATTCAGTTCTTCGTCAAAAGCATAAGCTAAATATTTGCGTGAAAAAACAAGACCGTTTGAAGTGCCCGCATCTGGGATACTTCATTCCTGCAGCCGTTTACAATAGCAGCAAAACAGTTCTGAAATATTTATACATTCAGCACTAGACTTAACGTGCAGTCTGATATTACCAATTCCTCATCCATGCACTTAAAAGGATAACCAGCTACCATAGGCAGTGGCTTCCCAAATTATGATGTCAATGTTTGGTTGCGCTTTAATGACGATAAGATGTTACACTCAAATATCTGACATTGTTTCCAAACCACAGCCATTTTTCAACATGAAGAAAATAAAAGATCCTGCTGCATATACAGAAGAGTGTTATTAAACATTCCCATGGTTTTCTTCCTCATGTTCAGTTCGCAAGCCTATGCTTTTCAGGATATTGGCCTTGGTCTTTGTCTATTCCAGACCAGAATATTTTGTCATCTGAGGAACCGATTGGATTTCCTGCTTTGTCTAGGTACACATACACAGAGCAACAGCTCCATCCTTTTAATACTTAAATTAAATACAGTGTAACTTGAAGCTGAACATGGACCAGGTGTTCTATTTGCACAGCTTACTTTAGACACCCTGGTCCTATGTGGTTGACAATTTAGGTGGAAATAGTTTCAGGTCATCTTGCTCACACCACCTGGCAGAGCCAAATAAAAGTCAAAGGGAGTATGCAGGACACACTATAAACATGTCTTCCAAGCCCAAGGGAAATAAAAGCCCATGCTCATGCCTTGTAGAAAGCTTAAACACATGCCCATGCCATGTAGGAAAGTTCAGGCCATTCCTCTGTGTACACCCCAAGCTTTCAGCTGGAACAGGACATATCAAAACCATGTAGGAAGTCCGTGTTTCCAACAGACAGGGTCAAAGAATGAGATATAGAAGAAAAATTAATCTGAGTCAGTTATCAACTATCATGCCAGCACATACAGTGGCTGTATGGCTAAATGCTCTAGAAATGCTCACCCATTAATTTGTTCAGTTCTCCTTGTGGCATGGCTCGGAAAGCTTCATTTGTTGGAGCAAACACTGTGAAGGTACCTGGCCTGTTCAGGGTCTCTGTTAGACCTGCAGACTGGATTGCAGCCACCAACGTACTGCAAGACAGACATGTATAAAAACTCCAGTGACTTCATCTGTTTAAACTATGTTGGTCTTTGAGCAATTGCATGTCATGTTCAAGAGAGAGAGATGAAGGTAGAATGGCAAAATCCTACTGGGATCCAGCAAGCCAATTAACTAAAAAGTCAGTCAGATATGAACTGAGCCCTGTGAGATCCAACAAGAACACTGGAGCAACAGCGGAGCAGCCCAGGGATGCCGAATCCTTGGGGCCAACGAGGCTAGTGAGGTGACAGAGAGGCCTGACCACAGGGCCTCTAAGTGGCAAAGACAGCTTTATAGCCAAGTTTTTACTATGTTAATGTACTCAGAAGGTCTTACTAAGGTAACCAAAATAAAAAAATAAATCAGCATTTTCTCAGTTAGGTCCCAACCCAGCTCTCACTAAGCTGATTTAACACTTGGGACAGCAAGGGCCACTGGAAACAAATAAAAAATACTTGTTATCTGGATAATTTAAAGCAATGCACACACTCTTGGCTCAGTTGCTACCTAAGGGCTCACAGTTCATTAAAGGGTTATTTGAAGTCTCTCTCTCCCTCTAGGAATGAGTAGTTTTGGATGGTCTTTCCATGTCAACAAATTATGTATAGTCATGACTACAATCCACACTAAATAGAAACTGCCTTCACAGCTCTTCTGCTCCAAACTGGCAGAAAGGTCACCTGAAGCGATGGTCTGCCTTAAGAACATCCATCACTGAACCAGATGGTGGGGTCAACATTTTGTCCATGCTAAACAGGGTCCCAAACCTTCCTCTCTTGTCATGGGCAGCAATGCAGGCGTTTTCAATGCAAAGGTTCTGCAAACAGAAAGGCAGACCAAAGGCATCATTAGCATATGCTTCGGAAGAGAGATTTTTATACTTTCCACAACGCTCAGTTATGCTTTTCACGTTAGCCATAACATTACAGACGTCAAGCATCGTTCAGCGGGCAGAGTGTTTACCACAGATAGTAAGGGATAAGAAAATCCAGTGTAACCCCTATGTCCTGCCTGCAGTGAGCTGGTCATTTAGAGACACTGATGACATTCTGACTGATTGAGAAACTCTAACTGATTTTGAGAAGCTGAGGCTAGACTCTCAGCCGGATGCGGACTCACTGATGCACTAGAGATCCAGGATACAAAAGCAGCCCATACGCAGCAACCACCCTTTTACAGCACTGCACACTACAGGAACTTACATTGCGGTAAACAAAAACTCTCAGTTCCTTGTCACCCAGAGTCTGCAGTTTCTGTCCGTGGTAAAGATATTTAGAGGAAAGCTGGTCTTTAACAATGTGGTTCAGAAGCAAATTTTTCATGGAGCTGTCAACAGGGGGAATTCTATCTGCAGCAGAAAATACGGAAGGAACCAGTGATTCACTTAAAATAATCCCCGAGACATTAAAAAGGCCCAAATACAGAATATTATCTACATCAGCTTTTAATTTTAAAGCTCCATGCCACTGTCTATAGCTGAAGCATTCGAGGGAGGGCTTGCATGCTTGTGCACTAAAATTCCGCTGAAGAGAGACTGTCTACAGCAGATCTGTGGTCCACAGGGATGGAAGAAAGGGAATTACTCTTAGATTTACCTTTGAATACATCATTTATTGGGGCAAGAAGTGTCACACGCTCACTGCCAGTCAGATGAGAACTGAGACCAGCTTGTCTGAAGAGGTCCATAGACTTGGAAACTGCAGATTCCTGGGCCAACTCAAACAGGGTCTTAGCTGAAAAGAAAAGCAGCACATAGTAGCCTTAAAGGCAATTCACCCACTGCTACAAAATATCTACAGTAAATCCAGCACTTCTTTGCGAAAAAAGAAAAATAGACAAAAGAAAGGCAAAAGGAAGAAAGATGCAGAGAGGCACCGGTACCTGAGTCTGGGATCAGCAGCTCATTTACAAAATGTATGACACCATTGGTAGCCAGGACATCCTTGTTAGCAATGATGGGCTTCCCATTCAGGGTCAGCTCCTCCCCACTGCAGCCTACGTCCAAGGTGGTTCCTTCCAGAGTCTCCATCGTCAGGCCAGCAATGATGGCCTCAGCACACATGGCTGATTTCAGTATGTGATGGTTCAACAGGTCTGTAAGAGAAGTAAGTGCCTTAGAGAGTTGGGAATACTGTTGTGTGGATTATTGCCGCTTTTAGGGGTTCTGTTCAAAGGCAAAGGTGTCCTGTACGGCAGCGTGCAGGGCTCCACTCTAAAAGATGTACAGTCATTTCAAATAGATCACTTATGTAGCAGGCTGCGAAATAAAGTGCCTAAAAAGAACAATTTGTATACACCTTTGTCAAGTGAGGAAGTGTTTCACGTAGTTAAGATGTTTGACTCATTTGTCAGGGGAAGTTACACTGATACAACACTACTTCTCTTTCACTTTGCAAGATTAACAGAAGCCACCATCATATACAGGAGAGCTAAAGGATCAGCTGTCTCGTGAATCTTCTAAATCCTTTCTCATTCAAATTGCAGTCTTGAAAAGGGACCGACTAGGAGGCAAACTCCTTTACACTGGGTAACTTGCAAAAGGGACTGTTTCAGCACCCTCCTCCACACCTGGATAACGCGCACTTTGCCATGTCTATCATGTCTGGATCTGAAGAAGTCTGCACTGTCCAGTTCAAAAAGCTGAAGGTTGCCAAACAGGTTTATTCTAGCTGTTAGCGGAGCGTACCAGGGATCAGTTCAGATCTATTCGAAAAGGCATTTAGAAGAACTGCAAAATACTCTTCAATCTCCCAATATGCTCAGTAAACAAGCCCTTACCCCTGAGGGCCTCTGGGTCCCCCAGGATCCGGTTCAGAGTCTCTCGTGGGATCTTCTCGAAGGCTTCGTTGGTTGGAGCCAAGAGCGTGTACTGGCCTTCACTTTCCAGCAAGCTGTTCAGATTGGAAGCAGCCACAGCAGCCTTTAGAGGAATGAGGAGAGACGGTAGAATACTTTCAGCAAGAATACAACAGTCAGCAACTTTGTCCAGTCACTAAGGGCCAGATTTATTAAGGTATTTATTATTTCAGAACACTTAAAAAATCCTAAATAGCCTCTTTCAGCACTTTGGTACTTTTATAATTTTTATCCTGCCTCTTGGTTCTCTCTTGTGCTCCAAGAATTTGAGCACGAGATGGACAGAGCTTTTTCTGGAGTCTTTCAGAGTTAGCTCCAATAGGCTGAAATGCCTGGGAAGGTTCACAGCAGTTCCAGTGAAATTCAGATCAGCACCTAAAGCTGGCTAACTGCAAAACCCCTGTGTTTTTTCATGTTATTCCTTGACTTGGCAAATAGCAAGTCAAATAAATTGGTACTCAACAAATCTGAGAAGTTATATCATCTAAGGCAAAGATTCCCATAAAAAAGCGAGGAGTCAGACTCAGGCTACATCTTTTTACTGATAGCAGCAGCAGGGTGGCACTTGCACTGACATCAAACTTTTCTCCTCCTAAAGCAAAATAAACTACATTGGTACCAGGATTTTATCAGCAGCTTTAAAGTCACAGCATATAGGTGTTGGCAAGCTCTTCGTTACAAGTCCTTGGGAGTGAATGTCTTTAAGGTCCCCTGGAACACCCGCTGGACAGACTCACCCGGAGAGTTTCCAGGCTTTCCTCGGTTTCAATGATCTGCTGAATGCTGTTTGTAGTGGTGGCGATGACTTTGTCGATGACATGAACCACTCCGTTGGTGGCATGGTGGTCAGCTTTCAAAAGCCTGGCACAGTTCACAGTCACAATCTGCAGAGGAAAAGAGCCACAGGGTGTTATATGCTTTGAAACAGGAAGGTAAAGCAGCCTCTGCTGTTTTTCTATTTCAAGCGCAGTGAGTGCTGTAACACTGAATCAGCAGGAGCAGAAATGTGGTTTCCTAAAAAAACAAATGAAGAATGAGAATGTTCTATCAAAAAACACATTTGAAGCATTTTATATTTAAAGAGCTTTGAAAGTAATCAGCGGTTTTGTCTACTATGCATCAGCAAGGCTAAGAAAATATGTAACATCAAACAGTTATGCAAGTGTAATGTTATACAACAGAATGTGCAGCTTTCCTGCAATATCATCTATGAAACTATCTACTTATAAATATCCTATCAAAGCTTCACCCAAACATGTTTTCTTAACCAATAACCTAAGCCTTTGTAACCTAAGCATTCATTACTGAGCCCTGGAGGTCCAATGACCATGTCAGAGGTACAAGGCAACACCAGAGCAAGCCTGTTGTGGTAAAGCTTAAATCCACTATACAGCAGTCCATGCCCTTCACAGGTACCTTCTAGGGGGACACAGACCTAAATGATTTTGGTTAGTACTGTGTAATTGTTCACCAACAGGCATCTCGGTACAGTCTTATTGTGAACCCAGTTTTAATCTATGGCAGATGACTAAACATGAACACACCCTCTCAACACATCATGCAGGGCTCCAGGTGAGGAGAGAAGGGGCCCTGAACGTGGCTTGGATGAAGGCAATAGTTTGCCCAGGGATATCACAGTGCCCTCAACCCCCAGTGCTGGCCATGTTGTCCAGGCTTCTTCCCTAGAGTTTTTAGGCCTTCACTTTTATCCTCAAAAAAGAAGAAAACCCAGATATAGGTCCATTCTCAGCTCCACTTGGGTAACTATGGCATCTCAAAGAGTTGTCTTACCCCATTGGGATAGTGGTGAATCTGGATAGGAAGGTTCTGGTACATTGAATTAAGTGCTGTCCCATGTTTCAGCTCATCTGTTAGGACTCGTTTGTTCACCATATGGTAGCGGAGGGCGTTGAGCAGCTCAATGTTAACATTACTGACTAAGGAATCCAATGTTTCCTGAAAATAAGCAAAATGAAACTCAGCGCTGAGTACAATGAAGCCTATTGTCTGTGAGAGCACCCCTGCACCAGGCAGCCTGGCTGAGTCAAATGTGCTTCCGGTAAGACCTTACTTTGTGCCCGTGTGCACGTGGGTCTCTAGCTTTCACAACACTATCTTTGGCCTTACAACAGCAGCTAGAGCAGCTAGCGCCTCTGGATCCCTGTCCTTGGAAGACAGGTTGATGACGGCAGCAAGGTCCAGCATGGGGGTCGCTGCATCAACAGCAGCATTAAGACAACAAAAGGCACAAAATGCAGGGCCAAGAGGCAATGGTGCTGGGAGACCTTCCCCAAGGGCATCATCCTCGCAAGAGGGTCTGCTGGTGCAGCTTTGGTGGCAGAGGCTTGGTACTGGGGACAGAAAAAAATGTCCCTCTCCCTGACCCAGCAGCTGCTCTTACTTAGCTGCATCTTAGGGACAAGTGACGTACATGCGGGCTGTAACTCAATGATGTGGGCTGCGCAGTCTGGATTCTCTCCCATCCTAGGGATGCTCTGTTTGGATCACGGCACCAGCAAGACAGCAGTGATAATTTGGGAGGAGAAATTTCATAGGATGCAAAGTGGAAAAATTAAAACCAATATAAAATAAATCTGTAAGTAATTAAGCAGAGGAATGCACTGATGCAAGAAAGCTGTGAATTTACAATTGGGACTGGATACTTGCGCAAATATTAAGAATAACTAGATTGGTAAAGTAGAGATCAACAATAAAACTGGTGGAAGGGATGTTAAGTCTCTTGTTGCAGATCGCATGATGATCTCTCACGGTAAGAGACAGGAAAAACAGAATGAGATGATTGCTCTATCCGCCCCCTGGAGAGCGTCATCTACACCTTCCTCTAGTATTGGGCTCCTCCAGAAACAAAGCTCTGGAGCTGATGGACCAGTACAGTGATTCGTGTTTTGGAATATCCTTCCTACATCTGGACAGTATCTGTATCTGCCTTCAGCCTCCAGGGCTGAATATCCACTACAGAAAGCAAGAGGAAGAGGAGAAAGAAGAGGAACTGAATCTTACAGCAGACAAGGATGCCCAGGCCTCATTACTTGGGGCAAAAATTGTAAAACTTCCAGGTCCTTCAATTTCTGGTCTTAGGTTAGACCGGTCAGAGTAGAGCTGCGTGGTAGCAGATCCAACGACGCCAAGGGTTTCATAGATGTTTGAAAGTGGCAACGCTGAAAGAAGGAGAGATTATGTTTCCAGCATGTCATTCATCCTTCACTGTACTTTGCTGAATTAAAAGAGAGCTGCTGGCAAAAAAAGCTTCTGGAAATGAAGCATGTCAGTGAATTCATATCTGTTCATTAATTAGATAATGAATAATTGTAGGCTGTCAGCTCCAATCTCAATTATAACAGTGTTACCCAAGATCCACTGCATCTCTGCAGGCTTAAATGGAGTTACTGTGGATTTCTACGCACGCAAATTAGGAGAAAATCAGAACCTAGCACTGTATCTGGCCTGAGAGACTAAAGAGGCAAGCAAAGATAACCATTATTTTCACCTGATCCATCAAGGCTGACATTTCTTCCCTGGCTGCTCACGTTTAGGGCCAGGCAGTTGGACCACAGCAGCAGTCCGACATGAGAGCGAGTGGTGAGGATGGGATTCCACCCCAATTTGCACTCCGTGGATCTTCTCTGGGACCCTCTTGCAAGAGACACAAGGCCCTGCAGGAGGTCCCAACCCCACCACGGCCAAGCTCTGCCCACCCTGGGGCATAGCTGTGAGTCATGGCAGCCCCCATGCCGCTGACAC